TGCTTAGCGATCAAGGCGGTGGTGCCAACAGTGCTCTGAGCGTCGGTGATATTGAGATCGATCTACTCCAATTGGACTTTGTGTACACTACCTATCGCATGGAACCCAATCTCACCGATCGTGTACGCCTTCCCAAACAACTCTATTTCCACACGTGGTGCCCTCGTCTCATACAAAAGAGCATTTCAGATGATGCTGGTACACTGGAACTGCTTCACAATGCGGACATTCCACGCAGGATGATCCTGTTCTTCACAGATTTGACTCATGGTACACAGCCAGCATTGGCTGGAGGTCAAGCATCGCATTCTTCGAACAGACTGGCCATGATTCATGCAAATCTCAGTCAACTTCGTGTCACTGTCAACGACCAGACGCTCTTTGACAACCCGCTCAAGTTCCAGTGGGATGTGAGTCGTAATACTGAAGGGCAATACTTCTACGATTACAACAAATCCTCCTACCTGCGTGGCTACAATCTGGTTCAAGACTTTTTCGGCAAGACGTATGGAACGCAAATCCCCATCACCGCTGCAGATTACTGCAATCACTACTTTATGGTGCCTATCAACTTGAATCTGGATCGGACCACAGACAATCCAAGATCGAGAGGAAATCTGTCCATCGACTATCAATTTAGCGACGTGACAAACGCCCCCGTGAGGAGACCTAGTGAAAATGGTGCCTCGATCAAAGTCAACCTTCTCTGCATGGACAAGTACTTGTACACCATGAGCAAAGATGAAGGTATCAAAGCCGAAGTTGTATGAATTAATTCCGACCTAGTAGTAAAAGGGCATCATGGAAGGTGGTGACCTGGAGACCAGACATCGTGTCTACGGTGGTGATTTGAAAACATCGAGTCGACAACACGGTGGATTCTTCTGGAAAAAGAGCTTCTGGAAAAACCTAATCGGTGCTGGACCGGATGAGATGGAAAAGCAGATGGCGGAACCCACGACAAAACAAGATGCAATGCAACGCGGTGGACTTGGACCCCTGGCTGCCATGGCAGGAATGACACTTCTTCCCATGCTTTTGGGGAGAGGAGAGTCCGGAGACATTGTGGAAACGCAAATGAAAACAGCTTACAACCCTGCCATGCACCGAGGAGGTCTAGCCATTCCACCAGGATTAGCCGCCAAGGCCATACCACTCCTGACGAATCTGGCTGCTCCCTTGGCCATGGGTACCATGGCATCACTGGGTGACAACGTAATGGATAAAATATTCGGCAGAGGAGTAAGGAAGGGAAGCTCAGCAGGTGCCATGAAGCGCGCTAAAAGTCGTCGTCGTCGGCATGCACCGAAGAAGATTCGTCAACGAGCATCTCGAAAAACCAAGAAACCAGCTCGTCAAGTTCGCTCCAAAGGCCGCAGGGCACGAGGAATAAAGAAACAAGGAAGGGCCTTGTTCAAAAAACTAGGACATCGTGCCCTCGACGAAGCTTCATCGTTCCTGTCTGCACCTCGTAGATCCCTAACCCGTCCTGAAACTCCATTTGCTCAAAAAATTCGACAGAACATTAACAGTGCAGGACCGTCTTCTATGAGTTCCGCTCACATCGGTCCATCCTACAACATCTGATCATGGACTTTATCTCGCTCCTTGGACAGGAAATCGGGAGGAAGAAAAAGACTAGTCCCGTAAGGAACGACGATGTTCCGACCACGGCCACTGCTCGACACGGGCTGCACATTCCTGGTCTTCAGTTCGAGTCTAAGGATTGGTTCACGGAAATCATTCCTGCTCTGAAATCCTGGGGTCAAAACGTATTGTTTCTGGGACAGAGCAACATGGGTAAATCCTACTTTCTCATCAAGCTCCTGAAACGTGTGCAACCTGAGCGTATAGTTGTCATCTCCAACACGCCGGCCGATCAGTATCGTCTCCCAAGCCTCAAATCCTTCAAGCATTACAGCACCATGCCCGAGTGTATCGAAGACATGGATCTCCAGCCTAACACCTATGTGATCATTGATGACATCAGAGTGATGGGTTTGAAGCACGGCAGTCAAAGAGAGTGTCTCTACAAGTTCTTCACCATGTACAGTCATCATCATAAGTTGAACGTGTTCTTTCTCTCTCAGAGCTTTGATAACATTAAGGACATGAAGATCAATGCAAACTTTATGTATCTATTTCGCTTCACTGATAAAAGCAATATCAAGCGTTATCTCAATACTCTGTTTGGTGGTCTGTGCACGAAGTCATCCATTATCTTTAGATTGTATGAGAAGTTATTGGCGGTGTGTCGCAGACCTATCCTAACCATTGATTGCTCTTCTAATCAGTACTACACGTATTGCGAAGACACTGCATTAAAGGTGACTTTTGAATAAAAACCTCGTTGATGTGCGTGTTTAGCCGAAAAGTTAGCCGAAAAGTTAGCCGAAAAGTTAGCCGAAAAGTTAGCCGAAAAGTTAGCCGAAAAGTTAGCCGAAACATTGAAAAAAAATTCCAATAATGAATAAGAATGGAGCATCTTACGGTGAAATTCTCAAATGGGCTACCGAGCAGTATACAGAGGGTGGGGTCCAGAAAGGGATCCTTCTCGATACCCAAGCGTAAAAGGTTGCAAACCTTGCAGTTTATGTCGAAACATCCTCAACACATCCTCAAGAAGAGAGTAAATTCGTGGGAAGTTCTCGGTATACCACCACTCATGCGGCAAAAAGGAGGTAATAACTACAATACCTACTTGAAAAGCGTCAAGAAAGTTCTTTCCCAAGTGCCAGATCACAGTTTGAGCACCTCCACCCTGTTGGAGCTGCAAGCTGATCCGCGAGTAAAGCGTCTATATGACACCCACTTCAAAAACAATCCCGATCACATCAGTTACCCGTCTGTGAGAAATGTGATTGCATCCAACATACTCAACTATGATTCCACTACCGATCAAGTTCGCGATTCCGTTGCAGATGTCAGGAAGAAGAGAAAGGCACCTTTAACATCAGTGCCTTTCAATCTATTACAAGACCACGAATTTGACCGATGGATCCTACAAATCCTGGACAGTTTCCTCCGACATACAAATATACCGGCAACCTTTTTGAAGAGCAACTATTTCACAAGCCGATCACAACTGCTGCAACTCTACGATGAAGATCGACTGAGGTTCAGGAGTCGGGTGGAAGCGGCTGCGGATGCCCTGAAGACGCAGACGATGAACGACTACACTACTCTGGTCAACGAGACGAATCGCATCTACATGTCCAGGTACCCGTTTGCAACCATAGCGGGTGCGGTGGGAATCCACAAACATGTCGATGGATTCCTTCGATCAGAACGAAAGATTCATGAACTAGCCACCCTAGTGCTAGCTGTACCAGGATCGCAGCTCAAGTTTCAAGATCTCAACGATATGACTTCTACGTATGGTAGAACAACTGAAGCAAAATTGATCCATCCCGAGCATTTCATGATCAGAGCACAAAAGGTGATGGTGGACGATGCATCATTCATTCAAGAGGTTCTGAAGGATAAAAGCAGGATCACTCGTATCATCAAGGATATCCTGAGTGGACGTTCAATGTGATCACGTGCGCGAAAATTTTCAGGCTATGATCAAGAATGGACTACCCTCTCAGCAGTGCCGACATCAAAGGAAGATTGAATGGTGTTGGAGGGTTCGTGGGGTGTACAAGTTACGACCTCTTACCACCCTTGAACAATGGAGACTTTTGTATCGTCAACACCGACAACGTTCTACCGGTGTACGATGCACCGGAAGGTGGACATCATTGGTTGACCGTGTGTCGCGAGCAAAACGTGATCCTGGTTTTTGACAGTTTCGGACGCAGTCTATACACTATGGAGCAAGATTACACTGAACCTGCACTGTGCGATTTCTTTAAAGAAGCCTATGCAGACTGTAAGATCATCACCAACACCCAAGCCGTTCAAGACAGAAGCACAGCAGTATGTGGATGGTATGCCATATTGATGGGAAAGCTATTTTCCAAATATGGTCTGGATGAAGCACTTCGAATTTTCCGAAGAGTCTTCGATGAGGATGAAAAGCTGGAAAACGATCAACTGGTTCTCAGTTTAGGTGCCTTGCGAGGTGGTGGAGCCTTGTGGGATACGAAAGTGCAAAAAGCACTTCATGATGGAAGACAGAAGAAGAAGTCGCAGTCCACACCATTCCACACGCAACTGGCTAACGAATTGCACAAACCCAGACGAGTGCATTTCAAAAGACGCAAGGTGAAGAGCAGGTCTGTGGATCACATCTGGAGTGCCGATCTAGTGGATATGCAACGGTTTGCCCGAAGCAACAAGAACTACAAATTCCTGCTGACCGTCATCGATCTGTACAGTCGCTATGCCTGGGCAGTACCCCTGAAAACCAAAACTGGCTCTGCTGTCAGGGATGCATTCGACCTGATCCTGAAATCATCGAACAGGGTACCACAAAAACTATGGGTAGACGAAGGCAAGGAGTTCTACAATGCAACAATGAAGCAATGGGTCAAGGATCACAACATCATCATGTACAGCACCCACAACGAAGGAAAAGCCGTGGTGGTGGAACGCTTCAATAGAACACTGAAAGGCAGAATGTGGCGCCATTTCACGGAGAAAGCTACGACACAGTATCTTGACGTCCTTCCTCAGCTTATGGCCAAGTACAACAGCTCGAAACATCGCAGTATCGGCATGAGTCCCACGAAAGCTTCTCTTGATGGAAAACCAAAAGATGCAGACGTACACTCGAAGCAATCACCAGCTAAATTCAAAGTGGGCGATGATGTGCGTTTGGCTGTGGCTAAACGTCATTTCGAGAAAGGGTACACGCCCAACTGGACAGAGGAAGTGTTCGTGGTAAACGATGTCCTACCCACTGTACCCCACACCTATCGTGTTCAAGACCTGATGGGAGAAGTCATTCAAGGACAGTTCTATGGAGCTGAGCTACAACATGCCAGACACACAGGATTGAGATTCGATAAGGTGTTGAAATACAACAAGAACAGTCGGCTCGTCAAATGGAAGGGTTATCAAGACGAAAAATTCCATACCTGGTTAACAAAGAAGGATGTGAATGATCTCAAAAAGTATTAGCATTTCATATGTACAATGTAGCTCATGCTTTGGATTAACGTGAATATTATGAATCGCATAGTATTTACAATGTATTTCATGAGAAGATATGACATATGCTCTAGTATGTGTGGAAATCCCTCAGTGCTTTGGAATATCCTTGTGTCCGAATGCCAGGGTGTTGATACCATCCTCCAGAATGTAACGCTTACTGTCGAATCCACAGAGGGCAATCTTGTGTAGCTCCTCTCCGTGAATGCAATGTCGTCGACTTCGAAGAACATTCATTGTTCTCTTCAGCTGAGACTCCTCGACGAGACATGTTCGATAATCATCGACGGTTATGGTGTTTTTCAACACGCTTCTCTGCACACCTTTGGCACGCTTGCCATTGTCGTCGTTGTCTTCACAGCGGTATGCGTACATCTTGCTCCGCAAACCAATGAACTCCTTGATGGGTTTGCCACCTAGTTCGTCCTTGAACTTCCCTACCACCTTCTTGTTGACCGTGCTGTACAGGTGGTGGGATGGTGAATAGTTGGATGTGTCATAGGCTGTTATGTTGTTTGACATATCGGTGTACAGATCATCCGTTTGAATATGTACGATCAGACTATCAGTATCAGTGTAGAGCAAACGTACATTTTGTCCATAGCGGGGTAGGAGAACTTCATAGTAAAAGGAATACATCAAGTGCTTCGACAGATCGAGGATGGCTGTACCCACATAAATGGGTTTATTGAGAGTCACCTTTGTCTTGGCAAACTCGATTGCTATCAGATCGTTCTCAAAGGCTACACTGCGGATGTACGAAGGTTTGTTGATGCTTTTCTGGAGACGTGGTTTTTCATCCTGTTCACGAATGAGCTTGATGTTTACTCTGTTTCGAACGTTTTCCATGGTCTTGCCATATACAGCATTGTTCATCAACTACGATAAACAGGCATACAAAAAAAAAAAGCCAAGAAAAACAACAATAAGAAAACTGTTATCTTCAGGTCATTCACACTTCCAGTACATACTAGATCCCACACTATCGCTAAATACACACACACACACACACACACACATGATGTGGAGTACCCACCTTATAGAAGTCTTTCTCGAAATCAGAAGTTGATAGCTTTCTCAGCTCAGTATTAGTGTCGATGTATGGCTTCATCCATGGGTGTTGTGTGAAGGAGAGCACACGATGTACATCTGTAATCTCCACACCCAAGGACACATACTGCTGCAAGTTTCTGTAGTGCAGAACATAGTGCTCTTTCACCAGTAGATTTGGTACCAGTTTCTTCGCTTCCAAACCGGTCACCTACAAGAGTACAGTATAGATATACACAAACCTTAGAAGATTAATACAAGCATATCCACCAGATAGACCATGACTTACCATTAGTTTCTCTGCCATGTGGGTCTGATATGGAGAAAGCATATCTCGTGTCACCTTCATCTTCTCAGGAGCCAACGGATAGTCATTCATCATGTCATGCACACCATCTGGAATCCTTAAATCGCACTCCACCATGTATCCCGTCGAAGAGTCCATTGGATGATCGAGTACCGTCTCCAGAAGATCATCCGTCACTGCTTCAAAGCAGAAGTCCGACACGGGCAAGGGTTGAGACATGGCCCATCCATATAGATTGTTCGCATCTAAATATTGGATGAAGCTTGTCGGCTCGTCTGGATTGTACTCCGATAGATATCTGTTGTTGGCGGTGGCATGTCTAGCGGACACCATGCTTATGCCACCTCTTTTGCCATGCTCAATGAAGTTGAACATGTCAATGTCGGAAATGAGATGAAGGGACACCTTCGTCATTTTCAGCAGCGAATCCCAGGCAAATCCCGGTAAGGTGAGGTAATTAGCGGGATCCAATCCATAGGTTGCGTGAGCAGTTCTTCTGAAGTTTTCGAAAACGTCAGCCAACAGCAGCACATCAGTCTCCAGGTAGAGGTCGTGATAGTCTCCTAGATCTTCACAGTCAAACGCAGTCCATACTGTTTGCGCATAGGCATAGTCTTCATCACTGATACCCTAGGGAATAGAAAATGTACACCAAAAAGAAAAACAAATCAACGAACTTATTTTAGTAGTTCGCCCACACAATCAATTATTTAGTATGAAGCTGCAGGAAGCGTTCAAACACATTTTGTCTTATTTTAGTACTTCGAATTAAGATGGTGAAAAAAGAAAGAGAGAAAGATCTACTATATCTGTCACACTACTCACCATGTTCGTTAGCGTTGAGTGGAATGCATCCTTGGGTGGTAGACGCGTTTCTTCGAATTGGTCGTACGACCCCATATATTCATACGGGTAGACACCCTTTCGTGTCAACAGTTTGCGTTCATCCTCGTCTGGAAATCGTGCGGATAGAAGGGCGAATGCATCTGGTGGTGTAGCCGAAACCAACCGGTCTAGGGAGGTGTTCAAGAATGCCAGGCTGTCGATGAACTGGAACTGTCTCCATCCGAATGTGACATATTTTTCACTGTTGATGGGAACCACTTTGATAGCACCGAGACGCTTGGTCTGAGAAGAAGAAAGAAAAAGAGGAGACACAGTTTTAAGGTGCAGCTGTAAAGATGAATATCAATCATATAAACGTGAATATGAGTACCACCATAGTAATGATCTTCCTTCTTAGAAAAACATCATGATCCACGCACACGCACACACACACACACACACACACACACACACACCACGCATATGTAACGTACCCGTTCTTGTCCTTTCTCGTTCACATACGTAATCTCATCAGTGGATGTTCTCCCAATGGCAGATATGATGTGATGAGAATCGTATCCCTTCAAGTTATGAAAGATCACAGGAATCTTGATCTTGAACGGCTCAATCCGCATGTTCAGGTTACAATGGTTGTGTGCTGCACCACGGTAAGCACCGGTGATGTGACAGTGGTCACGTACACGATCGCTACCCAACGCTTCACCACAGATCCAACAGGAGACTACCGTTTCAAATTCACGTTGTTGACTTTCTGAAATGATCATTTGACCAGCATTACATGCTAGAAGCTCATCACGGATAATCTCCTCCTCTTGCTCAAGTGACAGCAGAAAACAGAACATAGAATCTTCTCCACGGTAGAAGAAACGGTTCGTGACGACGCCATCAGATCGTACTACAATGTACGAACAGGAACAGGCTACATGCTTGTTCTTTTGGAATGTCGAATGACCGATTTTCTTGACAGCGGACAGAAGTTCTATGAAGGCCTCACAATCGGCATAGATCACCTGCATTTGAGAGAGAGAGAGAGAGAGAGAGAGAGAGAGAGAGAGAGAAGTAGGAATAGCAGCAGGGACAACACCGAGTAAAACAGCGGAAAAGATAGATAGAGAATTAGGAATAGCTGCAGAAACAACACCGAGTAAAACAGCAGAAAGGTGAACAATCAGAGTCAAGAAACATGTGCAGGAAAGAAAAGAAAAGAAAAAGAAAAAAAAAAAAAAAAAAAAAAAAAAAAAAAAAAAAAAAACAGACCACAGTGTGTTCACCTTGATTAAGTGTTCTACTTACAAATGGGGCTTGAAGCTGCTTGTTCACATTCCTGAACATCACTCTATCACCAGCCTTTGGCATCTCCACCGTAGCTTCAGGATGTTCACTGCAGTACATCATATGATTATTCAATCCCTTCTCCGTGACGTGTGTTGAGAGACATCTGAAGCAGACAAAATGTGCTCGACGTGCTCCAGTAGCAACAAGACGACTGAATGACTTTATCCACACCCAGTGCTGCACCTCCACGTCATTGCGTTCGTCTTGGATGAGCAATACATTGATGGCGGTCTGCGGTTGCTGAGAAATTCTTAACGGATATATGACTTTCTCTTCATATCCGAAGACGTTGATGTAAAGACCGTCGTTCAGTCTTTCGATGACTGGTATGTCTTCCAGTTTTGCTGGAAACTCGATGCCGCTCACATCCACAGTATCCGCATGTTCTGCGTACGACGATTGACGATATGGATGAGACTTGTCTGCCGAAAATTTAGCAGCCAGTATTGACCATCTAAAGTACGGATGACATAAGACATGGACAGGCGGCATACAGTTCAATCCATACACCGTATCACCACACTGAAACCCCACTGCTATACTTACAGTAAACACTTGTTGTCAGTGTTCTGCACGTTAACAATGGCCTTCTTCGACTTCAACTCCGGTGGCAAGGGGATGTACGAACTTCCTCCAAGTACACAGTAGCGTGACATTTCGATGTGTAAACAGGAAATCCGTTCAACTACCCAACCTGATCCATGACGAACGAAATCATCAAGACGAGCGTTGATCTGAGCAATCATCCTACTGAGAAGGTCCCTCAGCTCCATGGTGTTGAGCACCAGCGTTGTACTCGATCGGAAGAAGAATGTGTTGGAAACCATTTGTCCTGTAGCAGGATTCAGCTTCTGCATCACCACCTGAACTACCAAAGAACACTTGTACTGACCCCATTGCTCAATATTCTCTTCAAGAAGCAGCTCCAGCGACGGTAGAACATGAGAGAAAAACTTTAGTACATCTGCAAACTCTTGATCAGGACAATAACTAAAGAATTGCAACAGATCAGATGATCTCACTACATCAAAAGACTGACGAGGTTTCTTCCGAAGGGGTTCCATCCTGAGCAGGGGTGGTGGCGGACAACCACACAATGGCTTGACAAGGTACCGAGGATCTATTTTTATAGGGTTTTCGTAATAGTTGAATTCGGAATAACTGGTTCTTTTTCAATTAACCAATCCACTCATCTCCCGCTGGAAACAATTAACCACTTACCGCACTTCCCGCTGAAAACATGTGACCAATTAGCGCACTTCCCGCTGAAATCACGTTCATCCTTTTATCGCGCATTGACCCATGTTCCACACTTCACAGTGAAATCAGTGCTGCAATGATGTACTGTGACGTCAATGCATGGATGCATGATCTGTGCATCTGAGGTCAAGATGAATCCGGTATTCCAGCAGCTAAAAGTTCGAGAAAGAATTGTTGTATGTCGAAAAGAATTATACGAGAGGAAAGCTAGAAAAATTCTACACCTCATGGACCTTTCGATTACGGACATAGATGGAAAACTAATTGACTTATGTCAATGGAAAGATTCCAAACCCGAACCAAAAAAGACACGGCATGTCGCGAGCAACGTTTTGGTTTTTGGCGCGCACCGTGTTCACCGTGTTCTCCAAGGTCGTCACCTTCCCGGAGGCGGGACCCGGCGGGACGGGACTTGGCGGGACCTATAAAACCTGATATAATTTCATTTTTGGTTCACAATTCATTTTTGAGTCCATTGGATGATCGAGTACCGTCTCCAGAATTTCTCTCTCTACCAGATCAAAGATGTCGGCCTGGTCAACCTCCGAACCGTATGTAGAGAAGTTTTATTTATTTTCTTGTAGTAATAAAGATGAATTAACCGTTCGGTTACTCACCGATCTGGGTACAGCTTACGAGCTAAGACCCATGCTTCTTCACCCGGATCGGACGGACTTGACTCCCATGGAGATTGCACAGTATCTGTGCAGGGTGTCGACGCGCGTTCTCGTGAGCGGTGAGAAACACCAGCGTCTACCGAAGATCGTTGTTGATGGTGTAGAGGATTATGGATCATCATCATGGCGAGATACGGGCAGACTGCTCCGCTGCTGGGACGACGGGCGAAGATCGATGTACAACGTGATGAAGGCTGCAGGTGTTCTGGATATTGTCGAAGAGACGTTTGCAAATGGAGAGCAGATCGAAGCTCAAGAACTCATCCGTGTCATCAAGGATCTCAATGATCGCAAGGTCTTTCGAAAAGACGGGGATACACAAGCGACGACGAAATCTGTCCGCCTCTCAGTGATGTCGACGAGGATAACCCGTGTTGTTGCGCGTGTCGGCACGATCGACATCGACGAAGAAGGATATCCTAAGAAGATGCCGGAAGTCTCGTGTGATTATGTAGTAAGCCGGAAGCGCAAGGCCGATGATGACCTGGATGAACCAATTGTGACGATTCAGGCTTCGAACACAGCTCCAATCATCGAAGTTTCCAGGAAGCGCTCCTGGGTAGTACCTTCTCAAGATATCTTTGATTGCTAGACTCTCTCTCTCTCTCTCTCTCTCTCTCTCTCTCTCTCTCTCTCTCTCTCTCTCTCTCTTCCTACCAGGCGTGAGCCATCCCCTGGGTGAACAAAATGGGTGCTATCTTCTCTCTCTCTCTCTCTCTCTCTCTCTCTCTCTCTCTCTCTCTCTCTCTCTCTCTCTCTCTCTCTCTCTCTCTCTCTGGAGAATGATCCGAAAAATTGAAATTACAAGTCAAAATACTGCAAAACTATGAGTTCTGATTAATATAAAATTGGAAAAAGTGAGATAACATTGACATTTGAAATAGTAATATTTTAGACATCGGAATGCAATATTATGATGTAGGGCTGGACATATTACCCACCCCTAAAAATCAAAATTAATGATACATGCAGAATTCCAAATCATGACACCATATTACCTTATTGTTTAGGGTAGAGCATAACACCCCAATACATATTTTCAATAATACCCCCTTTTTTTTTTTTTTTGAGGTAGGGGCACCCCCTGGCACATATTTTTATCCGCAAAAAAACCGGGCCAAAAATAATTTTCATCGCAAAAATGGGGTACTATTAGTACCCCATTTTTCAATAATACCCCATTTTTTGGGACCCGGGCGCCCCCTGGCACAGAACCCGCTCGTCGCTTCCTACTCAGCATGTCTGCAACACTCCCTGCACTAGTCTCTAGCTGCCAACATGTCTGCAACACTCCCTGCACTAGTCTCTAGCTGCCAGCATGTCTGCAACACTCCCTGCACTAGTCTCTAGCTGCCAGCATGTCTGCAACACTCCCTGCACTAGTCTCTAGCTGCCAACATGTCTGCAACACTCCCTGCACTAGTCTCTAGCTGCCAACATGTCTGCAACACTCCCTGCACTAGTCTCTAGCTGCCAACATGTCTGCAACACTCCCTGCACTAGTCTCTAGCTGCCAGCATGTCTGCAACACTCCCTGCACTAGTCTCTAGCTGCCAACATGTCTGCAACACTCCCTGCAGTAGTCTCTAGCTGCCAGCATGTCTGCAACACTCCCTGCACTAGTCTCTAGCTGCCAACATGTCTGCACCACTCCCTGCACTAGTCTCTAGCTGCCAACATGTCTGCACCACTCCCTGCACTAGTCTCTAGCTGCCAACATGTCTGCAACACTCCCTGCACTAGTCTCTAGCTGCCAACATGTCTGCAACACTCCCTGCACTAGTCTCTAGCTGCCAGCATGTCTGCAACACTCCCTGCACTAGTCTCTAGCTGCCAACATGTCTGCAAAACTGTTATCAGGTCATCCATGTACTGCTTACCCACGGCTGCATGGCCAGCACCCTGGGGCCGCTTGACCCACGGCTGCATGGCCAGCACCCTGGGGCCGCTTGAACCACGGCTGCATGGCCAGCACCCTGGGGCCGCTTGACCCACGGCTGCATGGCCAGCACCCTGGGGCCGCTTGACCCACGGCTGCATGGCCAGCACCCTGGGGCCGCTTGAACCACGGCTGCATGGCCAGCACCCTGGGGCCGCTTGACCCACGTCTGCATGGCCAGCACCCTGGGGCCGCTTGAACCACGGCTGCATGGCCAGCACCCTGGGGCCGCTTGACATGCGACCAGATTTCCATGTCCACAACGGTAATTCATATTGCTTGCAGTGGTGAGTAGCGGCAGACTGCGTCATCATGCGGAAATGTTCAGTTGTCTGTACCCTACTGGTTTGTGTGTGTGTGTGTGTGTGTGTG